TTTTTTTTTTTTTTTTTTTTTTTTTTTTTTTTTTAATTAAGAAGGCTTTGAAGGACAATACTGCTGTGAAGTAGCAACACACTAAGAGAATCTCTAAGCAACAAGAGGACTGTTTGCTCTCTCGGATCATCCTTTTGATACTTGCAAAACAAACCTCCGGCTCGGACAGCCGCACCCCGCACCCGGCCCAGCTGCAGCCCGGGGTCGGGACAGACCCCCCCCAAACCCTCCTATATTTTTTTCCAAGTGTTACCTGTCTTGGGATGTAATATAACGTTACAAGAGGTCACAGCCAGTTGGATTTTTTTCTTTCCCATCTGTTACTGAAGGTTCTCGTTCCTCAGGCACTCTCGCCGACGTGTGGATGACATGCTTATTTAATTTAAGGTCTCTTCGTCGCGTACCAGCGGAGCTATGGACTGAAAACAAGGTTATCCGCTTCCCGGGAGGCGCTGGCCCTCACACCAGCGCCAGGAACAGAGGAGAGCCCTTCCTCTCCCCTTTCCCACCTCGTTTAATACATTACACACCCATCATTTTTGTGGCCGTTTAATTATCGCCATCATTAGCTTGTTTCATCCAGTGTTAATGCACTTTCCACAGTTTTACACGGTGTTAGCATAGCCAGACGGGTTTTATTATTATTCCTGTTCGCTGTCTCAATGTTCTTAATTTATTGCATGGTTTATATTTTTTTTCTTTCTTTACAGCTGGAAATTGCTTTAAATGACAGTAAAAAGAATTACACGTGAATTTAAGAATTTTTTGTTAATTTTATAAATGTGATTGTAATTGAAAAAAAAATATTTTGATTTAAAACGATAACTGAGAATTTAACGCGTGAAGTATGGTTTTTTGATCATTTGCAGTTAAGGACTTTAAATAAATCAAATGTTAACAATGAACAACTGCCACCGTTTCCTTCCGAAATTTCTGCGGCGGGCGCCGGAGCGCGGAGCCACGCGCGGTGCGGGCGGACGCGGCCGTGGGAGCGGGTGCGGAGGGGCACCGTCCGTGCGGGGATCGGTGCGGGCCACGGGAGCGCGAGGCTTTGCGGGACGCGCAGCTTGCGCCGGTTCGTCTGGATTTTCGAGCTCCTTTTGTAGAGCTCGCACACGCACTGGGCAGGGGGTGCGTGCGCCTGGGTTGGTATCATATATATTTATGTATACATACATATATACCTTTTGTTGTTGTTGTTGTTAACATGCCGGTGGCGGGAAGAAGGCACGGAGCTCACTGAGGGAGATGCCCCGTCGCTGTGTCGGCTCGGGCTGACCGCGGGAATCCCAACAGCAGCGCCGATCCCCCACGAGAGGCACCGCTGCAGATCTCCCTGCGCTCAGCCCCCTCGGGCCAGACGGCCCGATGAAAGCTCTGTGTCATTCTCGTAATTATCGCATAATTGCCTCCTGATGGGTTAGGGACAGCGGCGACAAACTACATTTAGAAGGTGATGTATGGAGGGGGGAGGAGGAGATGGGGAGAGAGAAGAAAAAAAACAAAAGAGCAAGCTTCCCAAAAATCTCCTAAGCCAACCCAATTATTCCAACGCTGTTACTCGGCGAAAAAGGAGAGAAAATTATTTTAAAGTCCTTCTGCTTTGCTACGGTCTAGTATTAAATGGGGAGGTTGGTGGCCCCGCATGTGGCAGGGGGGTTGGAGATTCATGATCCTTGAGGTCCCTTCCAACCCTGGCCATTCTGTGATTCTGTGATACTGGCAGGCACACGAAGCGGGGGGCCCTGGCTCAGCCCTCCGCCCGGCGCGTCCCCACAGCCACGGCAGCGCGGCCCCGGATCCGGGCAGGTGGATGCTATTCAAAGTGCCAATTCTGCTGCTGCCAGGAGCTGCTCGGTGAGACACCGCGGCAGGACGGAGCTCGTCCTCGGCAGGACCTCGCTTGTCTCCCACAGACCGCTCTATGGAGAACATGCCGCTTCGAAGCGGAGACATTGATTTAATGCCTTGGGCTTGTGCACAGAAAATATCAATCGACCGACAGCGATAAGGCAGCGGGTTTCGCATATCAGCTGAGGAGCACAGACCGTGTGTAATGGAAATATTCGGGGCGTGGGTAGTAAAAGGGCTTAAGCGGAGCGCCGCGGCTCCCAGCCTCTCAGAGATAAGGAGCGGAGCCCGTCACAGAGACTGCGTGTGCCCCACCGCCACCGAGAGCTTGTTCTTTCCTTTTCTCGCTGCAGGCGAATGGTGGGCAGTGACCCGCTGACACTGCAGGCATATGGCTCCGGGCAAAAATCGGGGTCCTTGCCTCAGCGGGCACTGCAGAGTGCAGTGTAATGGTCGGGATCCAACAGAGGGAAGAAGGAGCCTCGTACTTTCTGTCCCATTTTAAGCCCACGCTCAAGTAGCACCCGGCAACAGTATGAAAATAAGCTGGAAATGTGTTCGATAAGAAATAGGGCGAATCCCGAATGCCCCCCATTCCATCAGCGTGCGAGCATCTCCCTTTGGCCGGATCGGTTCGCTGATGGAGGGAGGCGGAGGGAGGTGCGGGGATGTTTCCGTGCCAGGAGTGGGCTCAGCCACGAGCATAGCAAAGCGGGACCCACCGGGCTACAACCTCCACGGCCAGCGCCGTTCACAGGGGCTTTTCGCCTTTTGCTTCACGGCGATTACTTCTGCCACGTGCGAGGCAAAGAGACAGGCTCACGGAGTGCAGCAGAGCGGGGAGAGATGTGGGGCAGTGGGGATCGCTGCGCACCCACGCAGAGCACGGGCACTGAATGCCGCGCACAGAGCGGGGGCTGGCAGCGATCCCCGTCGTTCTGTGGGGCCGGCGCTGCCCCCCGGCTCCGCTCTCCCCCCGGGCACTACGAGGCCCCCGCGGCGCTGTCCGGGTCCCTCCGACCCGATGCTCCCCTTCCCCCCCCCCACGGGGCTCGCTAGGATAAAAGCTCTTCCATCACCCAAATCGGGGATGGGAATAAAGGCACATGAACGTCTCGGTCTGGTGTCGGGGTCCGGAGGGACAATACTGGCACATACATCGGCGCACAGCCGCGGGTGTGTATTTATTGGAAAGAATTAATTTAAAATTTTCGGGACTGAAAGATGGGGAAAAATATTTCCCAGTCAGTTTTTCCCTTTGAAACTGAGTCGCGTCGATAAAAGTGACTCGTAAAGGGTCTGCGCAAGAAAACACTTCAGCCTTTGGCGTGGTTTCAGATATTGGTTTGGATGGTGGAGTTGATGCTGAAGACTTGGATGGCTAAACCAGAAATAGAGGCATCCTCTCGCTGCAACTCCAAGTCTCCTTTAAGAAGAAATAGAATTTCTTCTAATTTTACAGAGATACTGTAGCTAAAACGCTTGGTTGCGATAGTAGCGCACCTAGTATTTAATCTTCTCCGCTGGGATAAAGCGGGATCCGGACACATAGGTGTGCCTATACGTGTTCGGTCACTCTAAAAAAGAGAAAAACGGTTTTAAACAGACATTTAATGAATTGACATTTCTCGTGTGCATTCAGAGTGAGCATCTTAATTCATAGAGAAGTTAATTATCCTCATAAAACATGGGATGAAAAGTTCTCTCGGGAGGCTCATAGGTGCATATATTGAATGTATTAACATATAGATAATTAATATGTATTTGTTTCCAGGGGGACAAGTGGAAATATACACAGCACACAATGGCCGGGAGAAAATCACCGCACAAAGGGGCGCGGAGCGGCCGCGGAGAGGAATGTGGGCGCCGCACTCCCACGCTGCGGTGCCGGGTTCGGAAATGCGGGATAACGGCTAGCAGCTGAAATCAAAACGCAATTAGTTTGATTTTTTAAATGCCGAGGGCGGCACTGTGAAAAGGAGTCATTTTTTATCTTAACGCAAACCCATCCACCAGCAAATGCAGAGTAAAAGCTCATTAAAAAAAAAATAATAAGAAGAAATGGAATGTGCTTTTTCTGCGCTTTGCGGATCATTACTGGGGGAGAAACAAATGAGTGAAGAGTGGAAAATGGGAGGCGATAAGAAGAAAACCTGCCTTTGTTCTCCCTGGTCATTTTCTGCTAATTATTCTGCCCATTGTGACAAAGTCGCAGTTAAGGGCAGATTAGTGTACATAACACCGCGTTTCGCCCCGCACCGCGCAGCGCCCGGCCCGAGCCGCGCCGCCGTGTTTGTGTTCCTCCCCTTCACCTCCAACAGAAACGCTCTGAGATTTCAGATCTTTGAACTTTGGACGGATCAAACTGCCAGCGCTCACCTTTGTCTCCGGGCAGTAGGATTTAAAACACATGTAGCCTCATGACGGGACCCATCGGTCTCCGCGAGAGGCAAAAATGTGCTGTTCCCCCCGCCCTAAAACTCCCACATGAACACTGAATTCCCGCATGGCGTCTCCGCTGCGGGTGTGCTGCTCGAACGGGCTGTGCCCAGGAGGGTTCTGTTAGCGGCAAACCCCTCTCTGCCTTTTATCGTTATTTTGCCACGACTGATTTACTATCGTTGCTATAATTTACCCATCAAAGCTCTTACACCTGCTCCTCATTCCAAGGGGAACCTACCAGAGAACGGAATTTTTTTTTATTAATGGTGATGATGACTATTGCGTTCAGCTCCGAGCCCGAGCCTTGCCGTGCTCCCACCGCCTGGCCGATCTCCGGGGTCCCGAAGCAGGCGTGAGGTCAGACCGGGACCAGCTGCGGAGCCGCCGGGGCCGGACAGCGGCATCTTCCCACCTGCAGCGTGATCAGGGCTGGGGCTTCGTGCCCTGTGGACCAGAAAGAGCTGCGGGGGGGTGAGGGGGGACAGTATCTGTAGGCTGATCGTGCTTATGATCTG